AAGTGGAGTCCTAGCTGATACACAGCCCACAGTGGGTTCAGTGGTCTGCAGCCCAAGCCCGGGGTCGCTTCCCCGAGTCTCCAGGTATATGACTGGGCTTGGTGTCTTTGGCAGTTAGAACAACATCCCCACAGGGTGCTTGGCATGTGGAGTAACAGCTCTCATCATCACGCTGCAGGTGGAAGACTCTTCGTTGTAGTTGTTGTTGTTTGTAAAGGGAGATTTCTTGAGGTATAACTGGTATAGAATATAATCCGCCAAATGTATGCGGTCATGACGCCGCTACCCCAGTCAAGACACGGAACATACCCTTTGCCCCCAAGACCTTCCCTGTGCCCCTCTGCAGTCAGCCCCCTCCCTCCAGTCCCTGACGACCACCAATCTGCTCTCTGTCCCCACAGTTTTGCCTTTCCCCCGATGTCATAGGAAATAGAGCCACACAGTCCTGCAGTCAGTCTACTGGATCTGACTTTGTTCACTCAGCACCATTTTGAGATCCACCCCCATGTTGTTGCGTGAGTCAGTAACTGGTTCCTCTTTATTGCCAAGTAGCAGTCCATCGTGTGGCTATACCACTCTTGGTTGATTCATTCGCCGCTGATGGACATTTGGGTTGTTTTCACTTGGGGGCTATTGTGAACAAGGCTGTTGTGAGCATCTGCCTGCAGTTCTTTGTACGGACCCATGTTCTCAGTGCCATTTAGAAGGAGGATCGCTGAGTGTGTAGTCCAGTGTGTGCTGACCTTGGTAGGAAACAGACAAACCGTTTTCCAATGACCTCTATAGTTTTGCATCCCCCCCCCTCCCCCGGCAATAGAGGAGAACTATGGTTGCTTCATATCCTCCTTGGCCCTTGGTGTTGTCAGTCTTAACATTTGTTTTTGCCACCCCAGGGGCTGTGTCGTGGCATCTTACTGTGGTTTAAAATGTTTCTTTATTTGAGATAGCTGACACACAGTGTTACATTACTTTCAGGTGTACAATACAGTTGATTCAACTTCTTCCAGTAAGTCCTGCTCTGCTTGCCACAAATGAAGCTACCATCTGTCACAATGCTGTTGCAACATCATATAGGGACTATATTCCCTAGGCTGTGCCTTTTATTCCCGTGATTTATTCATTGGCGGACAGTAGATCCTGGTGCCAAGTGCCAATGAAGAAGCACATGTTTGACAAGGACATAGTCAACAGGGGCTCAGACCTGTCATGGATGATGGTCCAGGCCACTCTACCACATAAGCCACCTGGACGAGAAGGTAAGAGAGCTCTAGAAAACATGGACGGATCACAATGGCTCAGAGTGGCACTCCTGTTGATTCTCTCTTGCTGTGTCCTGCCACGACCCTTTCGTGCTATTCTCACCTAGACTCCATACTTTCAGAAAGAACTTGGATCTGAGGCCTGAGGCATTTCCATAGCACTAATGTACCACATGTCCCTTATGGGACCCTCTTCTTCTCTTGCACGATTTCTGAAGCGATCTCTTCCTGTTCCCTTTTGTGTAAATGTTTTGTCCGTACACGTATTAGATGGTCAGTTCTGCCTCGTACTTTACAGACAGCCTGTGCTCAGGCAATTCCTAAGGTATGAAATGTGAGTTCCTACGACTCCAACAGCCAGGGGCCTTAAGCCGTGATGTATCAGTCAGGGATGGACAGTTCCTCCTGTGATGGTTTTATAATCAAGACACAATGGGGATACATGGGGGGCTCAGTCAGTTAATTGTCTGCCTTCAGCTTAGGTCATAATTCCAGAATCCTGGGATGGAGCCCTGGGCCATACTCCCCGCTCTGCAGGTGAGTCTGCTTCTTTCCCTCTCCCTCGCCCCTCTCCCTCCCTGCTCGTGCAGGTGCTCTCTGTCTCTCTCTGTCTCTCTGTCTCTCTCTCTCTCTGTCTCTTTATTTCACTTCACTGTCTCACTCAAATCAATAAATGAACTCTAAAAAAAAAGTGATAAAGATACAATGCCAAACTCATTCTGCTGAAATGCCTCAGGGTTAGCATAGCCCAAGAGGAATAATGAGAATAGCGAGAATAATGGCATATATTAAGTGCCTAACGTGTTCCAGGCCCTTCTTGGGTGCTTTCCTCTGATCACCACAAAATCCTGGCAAAGTGCATTGCATCTCCCAATGTAACATGGACCTTGAAACTCATGGCCTGAGGCTTTGTCCAAGAGCCGGTACTTGGCAGGTGGTAGGTAGATCTGTTGGCACCCATGTGCCTTGACAGAAAAGTTCTTACCATCCTACCATATCTTCCAACTGTCACTTTAAGTGCCATTTGTTTAACAGGAGCAGTAAAATGAACAAATAACAGAAATCTAGTATATGGCCAATTGGGAAATGGTCCAAAAACTTGTTAAATCTGGTGCATACCCATGCAAACAAGGTTTGCTACCCAATCATTTGTAAAACGCTGGATTCCACATCTTAACAAGAGTACTACTGGTCTCTTGCTAATGAATAGAAGAGTGTTCTACTATCCGCTGTAGGAATAGTAAGGGTATGGCTAGAAAGGAAATGTTACATATATTAAAAGAGACGACCTCATGTTAAATGGCCAACTTGTTTTATTTTAAGATGACAACCTCAGAGTGGCTAAAGGACTACGTAATTATCAGAGTGATTATTGGTCATTTTCCTGGTCCTACCAATATGATTTTCTTCATCTGGCACATCAAGTTAGTATTCATTTGAGTCTAGGTCATTTTTGTTCTTCATCCTCCTCTTTTATATCTTCTAAGTGATGAGAGGCACCAGTGATGCCTGAAATCAGAAAAAGACTTAAGCGAATAATCAGTAGAAGTATTGTTTGGTGTATACTAAAAATTATTCTGGTTCGAAAACCATATTCTCTGTCAGGTGGAGGGCCACTATCTATACTACCACCTGCTCCTTTCTCTTCACATGTTGGGGGTTTCCAACCTCTCATACAGTGACAGTGTTTCTTGCTGTTACACACTCCTCTGAAATTGCATGTACTGACATCACAGTCAAAACCCATGTCTTGATAAAAAGTACAATTCTGATTCAAGCAGTATTTTCCTGGACCACATGTTGCCCCATCCACAACTAGCCCCATTTCTGGGATCTCTGTCCCATGGTGTGCATCGTATCCAAAGCATAACTCTCTCTGAACATCATGTACTATTATATGACGAAATGTAACGTGGTCACCTCCACCAGGAATTTCTTGAACATCACGACAGTGCAGCATTCCACAAAGAACATCATCTTCTTCACATCTAACAGGTTTTCCTCCTCCTCGTACCACCCTCACACCACAGTTCCCAAATCGATCACCTAATACGTTCAGTTTTTCATAGCATGCTGGTGCAGCATCTTTTATTCCATAGCCAAAAAGGGATTGACACTGCATATCACGATCAGTACAGTTTCCTCTCACACAGACAGCTAACGTTGAACATGGGGTTCCATCCTGGGTGTAAACGTCATTAGGACAATTATGCGATCTCCCATCACAGTATTCTGGGAGATCACAAACTCCGAGTATGTCTCTGCAAAGCAGTCCAGGTTGAGCATATTTGCAGTTAACACAGCAGGATCCTCCATTGCAGTCACTGCCAAGGGAGAGGGCACAAGTGGTGGTGCAACACTTATTCTTAGAGCACTGTTTTAAGGAGCCACAGTCACATTCTTCCCTCCTGTCCACGACCAGGTCACCACAACGAGCAGCTACGTAAGGATAATTGGTGTATGGTACATTTGGTATGCTTAAACAAGGATCCCAAGTATTGACCTTGCTATGCAGACTGTCATAAGTACAATTGCTCATCATATCCAATAAATCAGGCTGAGGAGCCATGACGCAGTGCTTTCTTCGAAAGCAAATACAACCGGGTGTATCATGAACGGCGCCTAAAGTGTGACCTAGGACATGTGCTGAAATAGTCGCAGCCAAAAATAAGTGGTATCTTGCTATATATACGTATGCCACGCCCCAGTTAGGATTGCATGCTCCATTGTGTTGGCCATAATAGGAGGCCCCCAGTATTGGTTCTGCTGAAAGAACCAGTGAAGTGTCATGAGGAATTTCCTCAAACCAACCCCAGTATTTATTCACACCAAAATCAGCCATGAGATCTTCAATGGCAAAGAAGCTCTCCAGATCCCACTTATCGACTCTATCCCATATGCACAAAACACGTAAGTAGACATCCAGGAGGGCTGGTTTGAAGATGGTATGTATTATGTTGTTCAAAATTACTACATCCTGTACAATACGAGTGTAATTTCTGTCAATCACAAATACTGAGAGAGTAGTGGTGTAATGGATTTTAAAGTATTTCTTATGTGGCCACCACAAATACACAGGGCCTGCTCTAGGAGTTCCAGCAAGTATTGCCTCCTCATATGCTTGATCTGTATCTTGCTCTCCAATCTTACACTTTTGAGCCTCTGATGATCTTCCTTCTGTCACAAGCAGGGAAACCACGTGCTCAAATGTGGAAGAAGCCTCCAGCGGTTTTATTTCATACGTGAAGTCATCGACCTGCAGCATGCCACGCAGACCCCCATTGCAGGTGTCCAGCGTGCCCATGGACCCAGGGACCCCTTCCAGGTAGCTGTAGTAGTAGCAGTCTCGGGGGACAAAAGGGTAGTCCTCCTGCATGGCACCCTGATCGTTATCGGTGATCACAGGAAAATGTCTGGGCAGCAGGTTCTTCTTAACTTTCATGTGAACCACATGTCTTTGCCCCCCGAAGTGAATCTTATAGGAGAGGTGGCCTTGTCTCTCCATTCCACCCACCCTGTGGGACACCTTCCTGGGAATCACGACTTCAGAGGAAGTGAAGCGCCATCCTGGGAGGGCACGGAAGCAGCAGCCTGGGGACAGGAGTAGCCAGAGCAGAGGCAGCCAGAGATTACCTGTCAAGTGGGCCTGGGCCCAGGCAGGCCCCATAAGTGAAGGAGCCTGTGACCACAGAAGATGTAATCAGGTGGGAGGTAGGCAAGATGATCCCTGAAACAGCAACTTTTCTAGCGGTGGAGTCCTGAGGAGAGCAGAGAGGGACTGGGGACTGGGGACTAGGCCTCCCCAGAGGGGGTGGGGGGGAGGCAGAGAAGCTGTTACATAATAATGATGTGCTCAGTAGGGGAGGCTGTGCTCAGTGAGCTGGGTGTCTGAGCACAGGGGACCTAGAGAAGAGAAAAGATGGGAGGCACTGGGAATAGTAGTGTGTGTCCCTGGGCCAAAAGGTCCCACGGTCTCTTGGAGAAGGCACACGGGAAGAATCAGTGCACTTGGTGGAAGTTCAGTGAGGGAAGGACTTCTCTTTCTCAAACTAAATGGCATAAGCGATCGACACATAATTAACACGGAGGTTGGAGAGGACAGTGGGAACTTCTTCAAATAATGCTGAGGAGAGAATTAGATTCCCTCACACTTTACAACACTTGAGTGCACTTGGCGATGATTGCTGGAAAGAAATTGTAAATGGAGGTCATGAGCAGAAAAGTTAGCGTGTATAATAAAACAAGTCAGTCCCCAGACTTTTAGAGCCACTCATACATTGTTTCAGCCCACAACAGCCATAGGCACAGGGAGAACTGTGGTATGGGTGTCCCACCCCTGTCTGGCAAGGCTGCGGAGGTAGGATCGCTACCGCGGTGTATCTGGAAGGCAGGCCTTCCACTCTAGTGGGTCCAGGAGGTGGGATGAGATCCCCGGAGAGAGGAGCATGGAGCCAAAGAGGATTACTCTATTGCCCTAAGGTTCTGGACTTGCTTGGGATCTGTCAGTCCTTTCTTCCCTATTTCTTCCTTTTGGAAAGGCAGTGTCCATCCTTTGCCTGTTGCGCTGTTGTATCTTGGAGGCATCTAACTTATTTTATTTTACTTTTTTTGTATATTTTTTTTATTGGAGTTCGATTTGCCAGCATATAACACCCAGCACCCAGTGCTCATTCCGTCAAGTGCCCCCCTCAGTGGCCGTCACCCAGTCACCCCATCCCCCTGCCCACCTCCCCCCTTCTGCTACCCCTTGTTCGTTTCCCAGAGGTAGGAGTCTCTCATGTTCTGTCACCCTCTCTGATTTTTCCCACTCATGGTCTCTCCTTTCCCCTATAATCCCTTTCACTATTTTTTATATTCCCCATGTGAGTGAAACCATATAACGTTTGTCCTTCTCGATTGACTCACTTCACTCAGCATAAAACCTCCAGTTCCATCCACGTCGAAGCAAATGGTGGGTATTTGTTGTCTCTAATGACTGGGTAATATTCCATTGTATACATAGACCACAGCTTCTTTATCCATTCATCTTTCGACGGACACCGAGGCTCCTTCCACAGTTTGGCTATTGGGGACATTGCTGCTATAAACATTGGGGTGCAGGTGTCTCCGCTTTTCACTGAATCTGTATCTTTGGGGTAAATCCCTAGTAGTGCAATTGCTGGGTCGTAGGGTAGCTCTATTTTTAACTCTTTGAGGAACCTCCACACTGTTTTGCAGAGTGGCTGTACCAGTTCACATGCCCACCAACGGTGCAGGAGGGTTCCCCTTTCGCCACATCCCCTCCAACATTTGTTGTTTCCTGTCTTGTTCATTTTCACCATTCTCACTGGGGTGAGGTGGTATCTCATTGTGGTTTTGCTTTGTATTTCCCTGACGGCAAGGGATGCGGAGCATTTTCTCATGTGCTTATTGGTCATGTGTATGTCTTCTTGGGTGAAATTTCCGTTCCTGTCTTTTGCCCATTTCATGATTGGATTGTTTGTTTCTTTGCCGTTGAGTTTAATAAGTTTTTTATAGACCTTGGATGCGAGCCCTTTATCTGATACGTCATTTGCAAATATCTTCTCCGGTTCCGTTGGTTGTCTTTTAGTTTTGTTGTGCAGAAGCCTTTTATCTTGATCAAGTCCCAATGGTTCATTTTTGCTTTTGTTTCCCCTGCCTTCACAGATATATCTTGCAAGAAGTTGCAGGGGCCAAGTTCAGAAAGGGTGTTACAATTGAACGCTAAAGCATAAGTATCTAGGAATAAACCTGACCAAAGAGGTAAAGGATCTATACCCTAAAAACTACGGAACACTTCTGAAAGAAATTGAGGAAGACACAAAGAGATGGAAAAATATTCCATGCTCATGGATTGGAAGAATTAATATTGTGAAGATGCCAATGCTACCCAGGGCAATTTGCACGTTCAGTGCAAACCCTATCAAAATACCATGGACTTTCTTCAGAGAGTTGGAACAAATCATCTTAAGATTTGTGTGGAATCAGAAAGGACACCGAACAGCCAGGGGAATATTGAAAAAGAAAACCAGACCCGGGGGCATCACAGTGCCAGACTTTAAGTTATACTACAAAGCTGTGATCATTAAGACAGTGTGGCACTGGCACAAAAACAGACACAAAGATCAATGGAACAGAATAGAGAACCCAGAAATGGGCCCTCAACTCTATGGTCAACTAGCATTCGACAAAGCAGGAAAGACTATCCACTGGAAAAAGGACAGTCTCTTCAATAAATGGTGCTGGGAAAATTGGACAGCCACGTGCAGAAGAATGAAACTAGACCATTCTCTTACACCAGACACAAAGATAAACTCAAAATGGATGAAGGATCTAAATGTGAGACAAGAATCCATCAAAATCCTAGAGGAGAACACAGGCAACACCCTTTTTGAATTTATTTATTTATTTTTATTCAGAAAATATCTACGTATTATTGAAAGATCCAGAGTGAGGCTTGGTCGGAAGGTGCTCTGAATTCATCTGGGCCATCATGTGGCCAATGTCACTTTTCACTCATCTTTTCTCCCCATTTGCTCCAGGCATGATCTCCTAGGGTCCAAGTAGCATACCATTCACCTCTAGAGTGATTAAAGTTCTGGAAGGGGATGGAGTCTAGAGGGGAATGCCAGCTTGGTCCGGTTCTGAGAGGAGCCCTCTTCGGGGCTGCAGACTGCTGGATTCTGAAGGCTTAAAGAGACTTGTGTGTGTGTGTGTGTGTGTGTGTGTGTGTTGTGTGTGTGTGTGTGTGTGTGTGACTCATAAACAGTTTATGGTGTCTTTAGGATGAAGTGTAGACAGAGAACGGTCTCTCAGAGACAGAGAATCTTTATCCCAGTGAGTTGGCTCATTTGTCGTTTTCATAGGCAGCTGGAGTCTTCCTCTGGGAATACTCAGAACTCCTCGGTCCCCACCGTGTACACAATACACTACAGATGGTGGTGTCACACAGAGGATGGACACCAGGTGCAGTGCCGCATGCTGGGGATGCCTTTGTTGAAGCAGGACAGGAAGGTGTGCTACTCCACAGGGTGTCAGGCTGTAGGCGACCACATGCCCTGTCTACATCGGATTCCCCAGCTCCCGGGGGCCCATGGTCCCAGCGGCACCATGGTCACCCTGTTGTCCACAACTATGGGACCGACCTTTAAAGTCACAATTAGTATTTTTAAAGATTTTACTTAATTGTTTGTTTATTTATTTATTTATTTATTTATTTGAGAGACAGAGAGAGCACAAGTGGGGAGCAGGAGGAGGGAGAAGCAGACTCCCCAGTGAGCAGGGAGACTGACAAGGGGCTCCATCCCAGAACCCCTAGGTCACAACCCGAGCCGCAGGCAGACGCTTAACTGACTGAGCCACCCAGGTGCCCTAAAGTTGTTATGACATATCTTCTTTTCCACTTTTGAGCTAATCAAGAGAGGAAAAGAGAGAAGTTGCTATGCAATGTATTTTGTTGAATAATACACAGAATTCATAGTCTGGCACCGTGTCACCTTATATATGAAAGGATGTTGTAATGAGACATAGTGAATACTCCTAGGAAACTACTGGGATGATAATCTCTCCTAAAGGACTCAAAGGCTTCCCCACCCTGTCCTGTAAATTTTTATTTACAAAAATAAACAGCATTTGAGTACTGATCTCTTTTTCTCCTCGTACCAGAAAGGAAACAAAGAACATGAACAATCTACCTCCTAGCCAGAAAAAAAGTGTTTTATAACCTCAAAACAAATGTTTACTCACCAAGAGCCGTAAATGGCTCAAATTGGAGATTTTGGTGGGATTTTCACCAGTAACTAAACTACTGAAGCTGCAAACCATCTAGGGAGCCATCAATTGTCTATCTCCTACACTTCTGAAAACCTTTGTGTTGGAATCAATCTTTTGTTCTAATTTCTGAAGCATGACCACTGTAAAATGACCATATTCATTCGGCTGGCACCTAAAAAACATGGAGCATGAATTTGTAGAATGAACAAATGAGCATTTTTCCTGTGTGCTTAAAGTCCGATATGGCTCCGTCACTGAAGTGCAGGGTGCAGAAAGCATAAACCCCTAGTGTGAATCCACCCGCACTCCACAAATGAGGGCACTGAGGTCCAGAGAAGGACAGTGACTTGGCCAAGGTCACACGGCAATCAGAACCCAGGTCTCTGACTCTCAGTTCAGAGAGGCCTGGGACTCTGAGATGGGCATCCTCCATGCTGGATCTCCAGCGCCCCCAGCCCCCACTGGGCAGAGAAGGAAGCATGTGAACCTCAGAGGGCAAGACAGATGCCAGACCTGGGGCAGTGGCAGACGTGCATGTTTTGGAAGTGCCCTGAGGGCTCTGACTGCCTCACACACACACAGCCTGGAATAGAGAGGAGCAGACTGGGCCTGAGGGAGCAGCCATGCCAGGAGTGGGAAGTGGCTCTTGCCCCACGGCCCAGGAGAAGGGACATGGAGATGGCCTGGCAGGGCTGCTGGGTGGGAGTCGGAGGAGCAGGTGGCTGCTGGTCTTTTGGCCACCACCACTTGCTCAAATTCCCCTACCCAAGTGTGACTGGGAGCCACTGAGCCAGGGGCCACATGTCCCCCAACCCCTGTTTCTTTGCCTCATCCATCATAGCAGGCCTCACCTGCTGTGATTGGCTGTGTCCCCTGCCTTGTGCATCCCTGTTCTCAGACTGGGAGTTTTCCAAGTCAGACTAACCCTGTGTTCCCAGCGCCCAGCCGGGGTCCCAGCCCAGATAGGCAGATACCCAGTGACCGTTTGGGACAAGCCAGAGGGATGAGTGCTAATGGTGGAGTTTCAGGCCCACAGATATGGCTAGCCCTCATCAAGACAGTCCCCTTCAGCAGGACCACACACAGTTCTGGGCTTGCCTGATGCAGAGTTGAGAGGCATGGCTACCCCCATGGGGATGGGGCCGAGGTGAGGGAAGGGGTGCCCGAGGGCTGTGACAGGGTCTTGGGGGAATGTGAAGACTGCAGTCGGGTGACTGGTGCTCCACTGGGTGGAGAGCAAATTGGCTCGGGCTTGGAGCTGGGGTTGCAGCAGGGAGTAGGATGGGTGGGTGAGATCCTTACAGAACTCAGTCCAGTGGAGGGGACCGAGGACAAATGAGAAAAGCAGCCAACAGAAGATGTCAGGTGTCCGGGAGGATCTCCTGAGGAGAGGACATTTCAGCAAGACTCGGGGTTGAGAAGAAGCTGCAGTGCAGGGTGGGGACAGCCCCCAGGTCGAGGGCACAGAGGCCGGCGTGCCGGGAACCCCCAGTGCAGGTAACGAAGTGAGTGGGAGAGTGGGCTGAATCCTGCAAGGGACAGGTAGGGCTTCTCAGAGGTGGCAGGGATACCCCGCGCACACAGGCGCGCGGCCGCGCGCGCGCTTCAGGGATGCTTGGCAGAGCCTGGGCGCCCTATCTTGGTCACCGTCCTCTTGGGTCAACAATGCTGACACAGCCACACCCTCTTACCTGGGCAGGGTGGGGCAGGTTGGGGGAGCAGTGGGCCTGGACTGGACTCCGTTCTCTGGAGATGGTACCCCATCACCATCACCTTTGTGGCAGCTACCCTTACTGAGGCCCCCAGGGGGCAGGCGCTTTGTGAACTCACCTTACTCCATTATCCTCACAGAGACCAGGTGGTGAGGAGTCAGGCCCAGGGGGCGCAGAGACCTGCTAAAACTCATAGCCGGCAGCAGCAGAACTCACACACCTACACAGGATTTGGGAGCAATGTCTAGGCTACCCCCTTCAGCTCTTCCCAGAGCAAGGGCTCTCCGACCCCCTCCCTGGCTCTGGCAGGTGACTGAACCAGCCTCGAGAGCCCAGTGGCCTGGAGAGCTGCACCTGCCCAGACCCCGATACTTGAGGATCCCCCTCTCCAGCCTGTGACACTGTGAGCCCCCCAGGTGGTACTCTGCAAGGCTGGGCTTCAGTGACTCGATATTATTGTACTGGAGTATAGTTGACATCCATGTGACATAGTTTCTGGTCCACAACAGTGAGTGGGCCAGTGTAAACATCACCACAGCTATGCCTCTCTGACAAGTGCAGCTACCATCTGTCACCATACGTGGGCCACAGTGATTGGATGGATGGATGGATGGATGAATGGATGGGGTGGATGGGGTGGATGGGTGGATGGATGGATGGATGAATGGACGGGGTGGATGGGTGGATGGGTGGATGGGGTGGATGGGTGGATGGATGGATGGATGGATGGATGAATGGATGGGGTGGATGGGGTGGATGGGTGGATGGGGTGGATGAGTGGATGGGTGGATGGATTGATTTTTTTCACCATCGTCTTTGGATCACGTTTCCCAAAACCCAGGGTTTCTTGAGAGGCTGAGTAAGCCCCAGAGCGGCCCCTCCCATCCCTTGACCTTACTCCCATGGCAATGGATCACCCTGGACAGGGTCCTGGGTGTCATTCATTGTCTCCAATAGTTTGAAGGGGGTCTGAAGCTCTAAAACGTTGGCAAGTTCAGAGCTGGAGAAGAATTGGCTCCAGCAAACCCAGCCTTCCCATGCCCCCACAAAGAGCAACAGTTAAACTGCTACCCACAGACAAAAACAGCTCTGGCAGATGTCTAGAGTTCACTTAGAGCGTTTTAGCAACACGGTGGAACAAAATCACCCAGAACAGTCAATCGTACCAGAGGAGAGGGAGGCCTTCATTTTGCCTGCATCATCCCATGCCCAGCCCAGCATTGTTGAACACCGAGACAGAACTTCCCAGCTAGAAATTTTCCCTCTTACCAAGAAAGGAAGAGCAGAGTGAATGAACAGCTTCTTCAGCCTTGTGGGGGTGGGGGCACTGCACAAAGGTACCATGTCAGGCAA